CCATGAATTGGTCCAGCACTTCTCCAGGTACGTAAGGCATTTGGGGACGAACTTACTGTAGACGATGATCTCATCTAAGCGTATTAACAATTTCTGAGGTGCGAAGCCTCTTAATCTGTCGGCATAAAGTGCGGAGTTGGACGCTTCAGCGTTTGCTTAAACAAATATCCTTGAATAAATTCGTACAAACTGAATTCCATCGGCGGTTGGTATCAAACCAACTCTCCCATTCAGTCCACCTGCGAATAACCAAATACAGGGTCCAACCGGAGAAATAATCTCATTCGAGTTTGCCGAATGAGCTGTCATTCCGTGGTTGTGGAATCGCGCCGTTGTGTTGTCTGATGAGACACATAGTCAACACATGTCAATACATAGTCTAAACTTTCTGCAAACCATTTACACCAGTGCCGCAAAGAACGATAAGATTAAGCGCGTCGATTGCATGAAATATAATTTTCAGAACTTTTGAAGTTTCTTACCTCCGGCAATAAAATAGGTGAATCTTCAGAGAGGATGTTTTTAAGGGGTTCCATGTGTGCCTATTACTTAAGCAATCTTTCCATAGATAGTCTTCTGCTTAGGTGGAATGAGTGTTACGCTTTGGCCCGTGTTCTCCCTCTTTCTATGAACGTCTCCCATTCTGTCTGCCCAATCATATAATAATTTGAGGAAGATGGTGGTGGCTGCCTTGCGTCCTTACGCCTGCATATTATGGTTGCCATTTGGCTGACCCCACCTGGTAAATCTCCTCTACCATGACGTCCTGAATTGCAGCCAGAAATCCAGGCAGGGCAACTTTTCAAAGTCTTAGATACAGCAGCACTTCAAGCGCCGCAGGCTATTGACACACCCAAATTGAGTTCGCCGAAACTATAGGGTATTCGAAGTTGATATTTTAATGGGAATTTGGTCTAATTAATTAGCACCTTTCCGTGACATGTTGCACGTAGCATTTTGTTTAAGTGAGCGAAATGTCAAGGTCATTGATCATCGCCGATTCGCATTTTTTGCCGGTTTACGCGACATAAAACACGAAATCGCACTTAATCATATTTTGGTGTTCTTCGGTGTTCCTGAAGAATAAAAATAACATCTTAAGAGTATTTAATGCAAATGCCACCCTATAAAATCAGTCGCGGGGGTTTGTTTGCTTTAGCAACCTCAGATTTAACAAATGGGATATTTTTGTTTGGTGAACCTTCTCACAACACATTTTCCCCATGGGTCACATGTTCCATTAGGTGCAATAAAGTTAGATTACAGCACAAACTTGCAGTGGCAGTGCCAGGGACATCTGTGGACGATCCCCTTTCCCAGATATGCATCACTAGCTTGTAGATAATACGGTGTTACCAGAATGCTGTGGGCGTCTTTCCTATTATAACTATGACGTTCTGTGGGTGGTGAACACCACAAAGCGGTCACCACGATGACGTTAGCCGTTGTCACTCACCTCGGCTACGTATTGTAGCTGCTGGATCCGTGTCTATATGCGACGCTAATTACGGTTCCCCGCATATGCGCGGCAGCCGAATCCAATGAGCAACGACGGCCCCTTGTACTCGCATGTCTACTGGTTTTCACTCATCTCGAATACTTGTTGTAACTGTTAGGTCCGCGTTTATGTGCAACGTTGATAATGAGACTGCACCTATGCACAGTAACATAATCCGATGGTCAATGACGGTCTTGTATACCGTTAGCTATACGCGATCCCGCTTGTCTTCGCTAGCTACGGTAAACATCAGTGCAGTTTATATGCCGACCAGTAAAAATAAGGCCTCAGCTATGCGTGATAGCCACATCTGACAGCCTGTTATACTCACAACTGTACTCGAAGTCGTCTAACTTGGCTATTGATCGTAATTGTTGAGTCGATGTCCTTGTGCATACATACCTAATCTAATGGCGACCGATTAACCGATTGCTCACAACTGTGCGCGATATCGCCTACCTTGACTACTTATTGAAACTGCTAGGCCAGTGCCTATATGCGACGCTGTTTAGCAGGCCTCGGATATGCGAAGTGCCCTGATTTAACTGCCAACGATTACCCGTGATACCCATAAATGTGCGCACTCTCGCTTATGTCTTCTGCTTATATCATCATGGAGAGCCTGAAATCAGTGTTAAGCACCGATCTTCACTGTCGTACCTGCCTGCTACCTACAGTAATCACCAAGCCAGTATCTATGCGGGCCGATGGAAACCAGGTTCCAACTATGCGTGACATCTTAACGACCAACGGCTGCCCGCCATACTTGTAACTGCAGTTGGTACCGCCTACCTTGGCTGCTTATCGTAATTGCAACACCTGAGTCTATGTGCAACGTTTAGTATAAAGCTGACGGTCCTTCATACTATACGCGATGCCGCTTATCTTCGCTACCTACAGTAAACATCAATCCAATATATATGCCAACCAGTAAAAACAAGGACTCAACTATGAGTGATTGCACAATCTGACAGCCTGTTATACTCACAAATGTACTCGAAGTCACCTAACTTGGCTATTTATCGTCATACTCAAACTTACTCGATGCCGTTTATGTTTGCTACCTTCAGTAAACATCAGAACTGTAGTCGATGTAACCTACGATGGCTACCCATAGTAACTGCCAGGCCCGAACACATGCTCGTAGCTAACCATAATGTTCCGGCAACACATAATAGACTAGTGATGTGAAGCCAGTGGGCAGTCAAATAAGAGACAAAACTGGGATCTTTTCTCCTCAAGATTTGCAAATCGTGGCGAAATCTACGCGATTAGTGTTTGGTGCACAGTCACTTACTCAGCTGCATTATCAAAGAACGCCACCGTGGTTGGTTGCGGTATCCATCTAACACCAGAGGCTAGTTGTCCTGTGCACCAATTGCATTTTGACGCAACATCAGATGGCTTTGGACAATCAGACGCTTCATGCACCCAGAAGCCTTACGCGGTTCCAGCAGCTTCAGTTTGCCAACCAGTTGATCAAGCTGCTTGTGCAGACGTCCGGGGAACGTCTAAAGAGTGCTATCTGCTGCTTTCGAGAAAAGCACAGGTGACTATATCTGTCACCCTCCGATTCCACCAGCAGCACGCGACCGCACTCTCGAAACTTGGCTATGATGGACAACATGTCATCTAAGAATTCGACTAAAAGCTAACCAACGGCCCACTTAACAATGGTTGTCGACATTTGACGCGATAGTTACACACATCCTTGGTAGTCAGTACCTTTCCTAAGTGGTCGGCGACGTACTGCCGAATCTCCGACGACGGAGCACCGTATTTCAAAAGGGTAGAACACTCCTTTGATTCATCATTTGTCAGTCGCCGGTTGATGGGGAGCCTGTCAAAATTAAACTTGCTGCGTGAATGGTTGTGCTACATGTAGTAGGGATTAACCTTCAAGCAGTAATGGTAACGGCGAACGTGGAACCTTGCCGGACAATCAGTACGACGTGTGCTACAACGTACACACAATCAACCGTGAACTTGGTGCGACGAATTTCACGGCTTCTGCTTCGTCCGCAGGGATGTCTGCTGCAACGGTAGAAGGCTTTCCATACAAAAGTAACGAATTGCTGTTCTTTCTGGAGTTTATACGGACGAAAACAACGTAATGTTTCGCCTGGTACTCTTTCAAAGCGACTTGAAATGCATTGAAGGAGGAAAAACTTTGACGAGCTAAATTCTCCACAAAATCATTCTCCGCATTCACGTGCTCAGCCATAGCAGCCACTTAAAATACGAATATCGCGGGCCTTGAATATCGTGGGGATTGAGTAGATTTAAACAACTTTCAAGAGAACTGCGGCCGTTTGGGAAGATCTCATACGCCTGAAAAATTACCATCAAATGTTAGAACTTTATGTTAAAGTTTTCCTCCTTCGAACCACGGTTTCAGAGAAATTTTGGGTGTGCGTCTAGCCCACGGCAGTTCAAGCTGCGGGGTGCGATGAAATATATTCTAACGTTTGGCGGGCTATTTTGATTTTGCCTCAGATTTGACCATAGATATTTCCACTCATATCCAGTAGCCCACAAAGCACGCTTTTGTGGATCGATTGCCAAATTTTCGAGCGGTCTTGACATATAATAGAGAAGACGTCTGTGTGCCGCCAACAACAGATGAGTGTGAACTGGGATAACAAACTGCTGACACTGTTGACCAGAAGCGATGTGGAACACATTGTGAGATTTACTGGCTCTCGGGTTTCCTTTGGTCTTTTGTACCTTCCGTGGAAGTGACTATCCCGGTTGCCGGCAGAAAGATTCTCTGACGAGTAGCAGAATGCCAAAACAGGTTGCAGCGAAGTGTGTTTAACGTTGCTGGTCTTCACCTCCGGTGGGCACTATGCAGTGTTTCGGGGAGTGGTGGTTGAGAACTTTGATTGAGATGGACATCCCCTGTGATTCTTTTTTGCTCAACACCGCAAGTTCGGTGCTTGCTACTGGGACTTTGCAGGCCGTTGGATCTTTCTCCGACAAAATTCCACTGTATGTTTGTTAAAATCTTCCAGTATGCGTAAGATCTGTGTTGCGGATGCCAGTATCCCCAAAAACGGTTTGTTTTTTAGTTATTGCCAAGTTATTTTTCTAAAATTTTGAATTTATAAATTTCGCGCCTTTTCACCTATGTTGTACCCCAATCCAAATAGGCCACGCTCCTTTCCCATTGGCCAGTTACACACTGTGTGCGCTAACTGATTTGTCACTCCCAGAGGTCGCCCGAAATATATATATATATATATGTATACGACGTTGCTCTCGTTGTAATTCGCCTTTGGTTGAGGCAATAAAAGCCAGCGTCTGGAGGTTTGGTCTTCTCTCTGCGCTATGAATGTTTGAACTCGCATCATAGCCGGGAATTTGTGCGCTCGTTCCCAGGTCGCGTGTAGCAGTTGATCGTACTCGCTTCCGTACGCAACAACCCCAGAGCCTGCCCTTGGGACAAACTTTATTTTAAAAAACGTAGCATCACTTGGTGAAGTAATGAAATTGTACAGCAATGATTCTGGGAAAGCAACTAGTCGCTGGGCGGCGCGGGCCGTTTGCCTCAGCGTACGTTCCATTTTACGGCCCCGACAGCTCGCGTGTAACGAACTCAGGGGTGAAGGATACGCTTGTACGGACAGCTCATTGCTATCACGGATTCACGGATTCACGGATTGATACACGGGATCGAGGCTTTTGCCCAAGTTTCCCGGGTCGGTTTTGTTCTTGTCGGTCAGTGACTGTCGTTCACCTGAAAGGCACTAGCGAAAAAAGG